GGGGGGGGGGGGTGGTTTCGAGAAAATGTTCCTCTGGAAAACCTTTGAAGTTGACGTTAATTTATGTCAGTATCTGTTCCAAGCTTGTTCGAAATTTTTCAAACACACTTGGCTTTGTGAGTTTGTGCCGCTATGCTTCTTTACTTATGACATTTTCATTCAGCCAGGTACACCATCAAATTGATCAAAATGTCAAATGTATAATAATAATGAGAATTGAACCTATTTTGTTTCAGATATATTAATATACTTAGGGAAATCATTGAAAATAATTTCCCTTTTCCCCCAGAATTTGGGCGTCCAAAGGCATCCATTTTTCGTTCTAGGGGCATCCCAGGAGGGCCAGGATGCCTTTCTGGCTAAAAGCCTTGTTGCCCCTTGTCACATATTTTTCAGTTTGAGGATGCCCCCAATTCAGGCAAAAATAGTTGAAATCACCTGCCACCCCCATTATTAATGACTGGTCCCTTAATTCTAGTAGATGTAGGTACAAAATTGTAGTTATAGTATGTGACGTCATTACGAAAGGGTCTATATTGATGATATATCAAACTTTTTCCAACAAATATGCCACACACTTCTACAGCTATAAGAACTGTCCTCACGTCTGTACTGTAGTTTACATATTGTATTATATAATTGTTACAAATTTGCCAGTGGTAATAATTGCTTCTCACACATCTAACATCTTTATATATAATTGCAACAAAATATGAAGCAAAAAATTGTTCGATCTCGCAATGTTTGGATAGCCAGTTTCTTTGTGATACATACTTCGGTACTTGCAGTCAAAACTAACCTTGACTCTGCTGGAGCCTTTTAATGGCAGCTGTAGTCCATTGATATCTTTATGTTTAAACAACTGCCTCCTCCACAGGCGTCTCTTGGTCTCTAAATACAGCGCGAACGCGAAAGGAAAGTAGATGAAAAGCCAAAGCAGATGGAAAAGCGGCGAGAGAATAATTACAAATAAAATGACGGTTCTTTTCCATTATTAACAAGTTCCAGAGACACTGATTCCATACTTTAATATTTCACATTTTCACTGTTGTGATGTACTTCATGTAATTGGGATATTGTATTTCACATTTTCGCTGATTCAATCACGCTTCCGGAAATACCTCTGCGGAAATACGTCACTTTGGCTTTTGTGCCTCGCTTAATCTAACCCTAATCTAATCTTAATCTGAGCCTAATCTAACCCTAATCTTTTAATCTGACGACATTTTTTTTACTATATTTTTTACCCTCCCCTGCGCGTCGAGCCTCACTTTAAAAGGCCATTATCTTTATACCGAAAAGTCTTGTCCAATATAATGGTCGATTTGTGTGATTAAGGCTGTCTTAATTTTGGAAAGAGATCAAGTTCCATTATTAAGGCTAACATATACGCCTCAATCACAAAAAACGAGGCTCTATTTTTGTTACTGTGACATTGTGACGTACTTTCTGGAATCGTATATTGGGATATCAAATGGCACGTGACGTCACGCCTCCGCTAAGTATACGCACAGGCAGCCCAGACACAGAGTAGAGACATAGGCGACACTAAAACTTGTGATGAATTTTATATTTTATAATTATATTTACCACATACAATCAAAGTAGGCAAGTAAATATAATTTTAAAATATAAAATTCATTACAAATTTTAATGTGTAGTATTTTCTAATTTCTATAATTATGTATTTACTATATACTGATACACGTCTAAGACCGCCTGTGGTATACGTCAGCAATTATTATATCCGATCAGATCATCAGTGATGGCAACCAATGGCAACCAGGTTGCTCAAGGTCGGAAAACGAGCGTGTCATGTGAAATGTACATAGAAATGGACCAATAGGATCAACGAACGCGACTGGTGTGTGGGGGGCGGGACACGACAACAAAAACAACATCTGCTCGAAGGCTGGCAATACGTTGTGAAGCTAAAACCATGGACGATCTTAAAGAACCGAAGAAGTTCAACATAACATTTTCTGGCTGTGGATTTTTGGGAATCTATCATGTTGGAGTAGCGAGTGCTTTGAAGGACAGAGCGCCTGAACTTCTTGAAAGAATCGAGAACTTTGGCGGGGCGAGTGCGGGAGCTTTAGCCGCCGGTTCGCTTCTGTGTGGAATCAGTCTTTCTGAATCGCTTCAGTTTACACTACGGTTAGCAGAACATGCTAGGAGATTCTCAATAGGGCCTTTTCATCCTCGATTTCAGTTGACCAAGACAATTACGAAGGTTTTTAGACGAATGATACCTGATGACGCTTATAAACGCTGCTCGGGAAGGCTTCACATATCGCTTACACGTTGTAGTGATTGGCAAAATGTTGTTATCTCAGAATTCCATTCCAATGACGATCTTGTTGATGTAAGTTTATTTGAATGTTGTTTTTTAGGTTGTATTGCTTTATTTCTTCTGTTTTTCTACCCCGTATAAATGTTCCATGTAAGTTTTATATGATGTATTAAATCTAAAAATTTTGGACTTTGCACAATTGAAAATACGAAATGGATTGTATGTAAATATTGCGTGTTGATTATTAGCTATTTTCGTTCCAAAAATTCTCGTGACTTAATAGTCAATTATATTTCAGGAACAAGTTAAACTGAACTTTACACTGATAAACATTACAACACGATAACACGCGCTTATATATAAGTTTTTAATTTGTCAATAATGGTTATGCTTTTGTACACATTTAATACACTGAAAACGTCTGTAGTTATATTTCTTTTAGGTTTTAAATACTTATCTGCCTCCCTTTTGAGTATTAAATACTAATATCTACGGTGGTATTTATACTTAATATAATACTCTCAGACAAAAATCAGGCTTTTTATTCCAAATTTAGCTATCTCTTCTCATATGATTGTCGCATGAGCCGGCATGACGCAACGACAATATTTCAATTTTAAGTGGGTGTGAAGTAAATCCTTTACAGTCTAGCTTGAGACGTCTGAAATATACTGGATTCCAGCCAATAATACTCAAATGTTGTAATTATTTATAAAACATCGCTTTCCCATTGATGAATGGAAAAATTTTCTCCTAGAGGCCTAGCTAGTATATTATCATGCTATATAAATGTTGAGTTAGGGGCTGATTACAGGTAGAGGTTTCAGCCCAGTTTTCAGCTGAATAAAATACAGCGAATGATTACATGACAAATTTTCAGCCCGGTTGAAGCTTCTGGGCTGAAAATTTCATCCCGGTTGACCAGCTGCAAATTGTCATGTATAAATGCTTTCAAGATGTAATGGATTGGAAATTTCAGGAATCACAGTCAAGCAGTCCCGCACAAATCAGAATGTTATGACCTGTAGGACCAAATATAAGCACTTAAAACACTTTAAATTTATCAAAGAAGCAGAATAGCCCTATTTTGAGACTTGTCCGTCTCAGACCGGGGCAGAGATTTCATCATCCCTGTTTGAGCTGAAAGTTTAACTCAGGCTGGTCTGACTTGCCATGTAATTGTGAAACAATTTCAGCTCGTTTAACCGGGTTGAAATTCAGCCCGGGCTGAAAACTCTCCATGTAATCAGCCCCTTACAATATTTGGTGATCTTCAGAGCAAGCGCCCTTTAACCTCTGAGATCACGGGTTCAATTTTCGGTGCGGACTCTTGTTTAATAAAAGAGTCTGTCAATATTCTGCCGAAAGTCATGGGTTTTCTCCGGGCGCTCCCGTTTCCTAGCCTCCCACAGGGAAAGTTGACAGGGTGGGTTAGGATAAACACAGTTGGGAAAGTGGTATCACAGTTGTTGTAAAAATAAAACAGTCTGGGTTAAGCGTGTGGTTACTGGTAAGTGTAATGCTTGATGTAAAGCACATTTTATCATATCCACACATGTGAATTTGCACTATAGAAGTATATCTTAATCTTAAGGTGCTAGCTGTTACACTATGCAACTTGTCTCGCAACTTATCTAGCAATTTGTTGTGACACAAGTTACACGCAAAATTGCAAGGTGTAACGTACCTCCGAATCATCTCGCAACATTTTTGTTTCAACAAGCATAGCACAAAGTAGAATCAGGTTCTACTTTTTGCAACAACTGCGACAATGTTGCAACACATTTTTAGAGCATTGCACAGCGTAATTACATCCCTCTTTGCAACTAGTCTCGCAATGTTTATACACTGAATGGCTTCCTAGTGGCTTTTGACTGTCAATCTGGCGCCAAACGTTAGCACTCACGGTTTTTATACTATTTTTAATGATAATTGCAAGTTGCATGGAACTTATTGCTTGGTGTAACATCCCTTGCAATGCAATGCAATGCAATGCTGAAATCGTTTTTCTATTGCGAGATAAGTTGCAACAAAGTTAAATAATAAGGCCAACAGACTTGCAACAAGTTGTTCCAACAAGTGTGATATTGTGTGCATGTGACAATTTCTCAACATGTTGATGACAACAAACTTGTGGTAACTTGTTAAGAACAGCTAGCCTGTATTAGTCGTGTTGTGGTGTCGGAACAGCTTGTAGCAAGTCTGTTGTTGTCTTCAACCTTATAACATGATGATAACAACTTGTTCCATACAGTGCGAACACATCCTGATATCAGCTTGACAACAAACTTGCCACAAAGTGTTTGCAGATCTTGTACAACTTGCATGTTTTCACATGTGTGCTTTATAGTCATTCCCTCGCCCTCAAGCAGCGTTGAAATGGTTGGACACGCTGGACTCTCACAATTAATTTTTAGAATTCTTTGACTACACATATGATTATCTCTGTAATTCATTACTTTTCCAAATATACCACAATTTGTTATACTCAATGGTGACAATCCATTCCAAAAGGTTGGGGAATGGAGTCTGCCAATACAGTAGATGTAAATAATATAGATTATTATACATTTAATATGTATTCTCGTTTCTAATTGGTCAGAAAGCACCGGCTAATTTTCAGTATTCGGCATTTATTACGTATTTTCCGCCGATGACGTCATCAGCGTCCAATAATTGTTTTTTTGCATCGAACTTGCATCCAAAAAAACAATTATTGGACTCTCTCGTGCCCAAACCCTTGCGCGGCCAAAAGCTTGAACCTATAAGCGCGCGAAAAAAAAAAACAAACAATGGCCTACAGCAGATTTGCTTCGCTGAATGAAAGTGAACTTTCCAAATTATTGGCAGATAAGGATGGTGAAAGCACGAAAAAAGCCACAAAGGGGTAAATAGAACTAGAAATAGAATATTTAGCTGACCTTTGAGGTGTTTGATATTCAAAATGTACTTTTCCTACCTCATGAACAGGAATCGTTTTATATGTTTCTCATGTCTTTAAATGTATAATAAAACAATTATTGGATTCGGCTTTCGCATGATATGAAGAATTATTCGGACCTCGGTCTATGTTATCCGCCTCAGCTTCGCTTCGGCAGATAACATTGACCTCGGTCTGAATAATTCTTGATATCATGCTCAGCCTCATCCAATAATTGCTTATTATACAGGGTCTGAAGTTTAAATATTTTCTCGGTATCCAACTGGGATACCAGGATTCAAAGTTTAGTATCCCCCTGAGAATGCAGTATCCCACTTCTGGATACTGGTTACCATAAGTATTCTACCCTGTCCCATCCAATAACTCTTGCTGTTACAAATTACAGTAACAATAGGAGATTCATTGTTCAGTCAAGTTGTCAACAACTAGACAATTCATTAATACACAAAAATGCACATTATATGAGGAAAGGCTTGGGTGGCAAATTCATAGTATTCAAAAGCTATCAAGAGACTGTCAGAGGTGCTTAACATTCTCCTAATGTTTGAAATTTTCTTAGTATCCAGTTGGGATATAAGTCATTCACAGTTTGGTATCCAAAACCAAATTTTAGTATCCCATGGATATCGGGATACTGCAAATTTCAGACCCTGATTATATGTCAAACATAAATATTATAGACAAACGTCCAAAAAGTGCAGGGAATCCAGGGATATACCCCTTCCCCAGGAAAAATAGCCCTTGATGATGCTGCTGAAAATATTACAAACAAGAATTTTTTATACACAAGTTTTACCCACTGTTTTACCCCCAAGGGTTTGAAAATTTGGGCTTCACAAAAGCTATTTCCTGTATTTTAAGTGCAACAAAGACATGCAGATAACAATTATGTAACCATAGCTTGCAATCTTGGGTGGCATGGCTAGCATCATAGAAAATCAACTTCCTCTCAATTGGTCTAGCTTACATGGCTCTTCAACTTGCATATTATTTATATTACTCAATTTACATGTAATTCTGTTAATTTTTCAAAATAATTCAATCTATAATGCTATAAAAGTGAACTAAATAGAAAATTTAGAACAATGATATATCAATATGCTTGAATTCTTTTTTAGGCTTTAGTTGCATCTGCACATGTTCCCTTTTATTCTGGTGTCTGGCCTCCCAAATTTCGTGGAGAGGTGAGTGCATAACATTTAGATTAATTTGCATATTAAAATGAGCTTTAATTTATAAACAATTGTAATTAGAAACTTTAAGGAGCAAAACAAGTTATTGATCCATAGGATATAGCTTGCATGATTGTTATTTATTAAGTATATCAGCCGGTACTTTTTACCATATTTTTATAAAAATCAAACTGAACGGCTGATCATGTTTTGTTTTTCTTGTTCTTACGTGCAACGAACGAGTAGTTTCTTTCAATCGATCGATTTTATGTATGGATCTTAGTTGAAAGACCACCCCAAGGAATTCTGCTTGACCATACATTTTCTGCTTTTCGAAAAGCTATTAGTCAGGTTGCTATACAGCCATATTTTTGCATATATACTGTACAAGCAAATTTACTGTACTGTACTATAGAACTGTCCAGTCATATACATGATAAAAAGCCGATATAAACAAAAGATATAATACAGTATGTAAAATGTGACAGAACAGCGAACATGCAAATTCGGCCATCTCAAATAATGGTAATGTTGGGATAGTAGCGTTGCAGACTGCAGAGGAGAGTGGACATTAAGTCTCCCTCATGCACCACCCCATGGAAATCCTGCACCCCTCCTTGCAGATGAGGCTATTATTAGATCCACCCCTGAGTATTTGTTTCTTTTTGTAGTCCTATGTTGATGGTGGTATTTCAAACAATTTACCTCAACACTTTGATGGAGAAACTATAACAGTCACACCGTGGAGTGGGGAGAGCGATATCTGTCCTGAGGATGATTCAAACAGTTTTAATCAAATAATGTTTGCCAACACCAGTATCCATTTCAGCGCTCAGAATTTTTATCGAATATGCCGTGCGTTCTTTCCACCTGATGTTCATGTTCTCAGCAAGATGTGTAAACAGGGATACACTGATACCATTAAGTACTTGAAAGTTCATTGTAAGTTAAAAATGCTAGATGCGCGACCAGGATTCATAATGAAGTTTCTGAAATGTTCTCTGATCGTAAATTTTTATTTAAAACACGAGCTTTCGACTTCCAGTCTGCAGTCTTCGACAGGTAAAGTGATATTAAATCATATAAACTATTCTACGGATATAGCTACAAGGACAGTGGTTTACAATTACACTTAACAATTATAATGACATGCAATATAACAATGAGTAGTTCCGCCTACGTAATCTCTAGTGAAACGAGTATACTTATAAATATAAAACTATGTTTATGATCTGTTCTTTTTTAATAAAAATCTATTTTCTGGTAAATGTTGTGCATTGTTGTCAGAATTGGCTGTGGTTGCTGTGTGCCAGGACTCCAGTGTTGCTCTGTGTCGATAGGTTGCCTTGTCTAAGATTTCGCACTCATCAAAGTTGATTTTATCAGGTCCTGAGTCCAAGCATGTTTTGCTATGTTTGAGCCGGATTTACATTGTTTCACGTTTCTTTTATGTTCCTTTTTTCTCGTTTCGAGAGCTCTGCAAAAGAAACGTGAAACAATGTAAATCCGGCTCAAACATAGCAAAACATGCTTGGACTCAGGACCATAAAATCAACTTTGATGAGTGCGAAATCTTGACAAGGCAACCTATTTTTAATAAAAATCTATTTTCTGGTAAATGTTGTGCATTGTTGTCAGAATTGGCTGTGGTTGCTGTGTGCCAGGACTCCAGTGTTGCTCTGTGTCGATAGGTTGCCTTGTCTAAGATTTCGCACTCATCAAAGTTGATTTTATCAGGTCCTGAGTCCAAGCATGTTTTGCTATGTTTGAGCCGGATTTACATTGTTTCACGTTTCTTTTATGTTCCTTTTTTCTCGTTTCGAGAGCTCTGCAAAAGAAACGTGAAACAATGTAAATCCGGCTCAAACATAGCAAAACATGCTTGGACTCAGGACCATAAAATCAACTTTGATGAGTGCGAAATCTTGACAAGGCAACCTATTTTTAATAAAAATCTATTTTCTGGTAAATGTTGTGCATTGTTGTCAGAATTGGCTGTGGTTGCTGTGTGCCAGGACTCCAGTGTTGCTCTGTGTCGATAGGTTGCCTTGTCTAAGATTTCGCACTCATCAAAGTTGATTTTATCAGGTCCTGAGTCCAAGCATGTTTTGCTATGTTTGAGCCGGATTTACATTGTTTCACGTTTCTTTTATGTTCCTTTTTTCTCGTTTCGAGAGCTCTGCAAAAGAAACGTGAAACAATGTAAATCCGGCTCAAACATAGCAAAACATGCTTGGACTCAGGACCATAAAATCAACTTTGATGAGTGCGAAATCTTGACAAGGCAACCTATTGACACAGAGCAACACTGGAGTCCTGGCATACAGCAACCACAGTCAATTCTGACAACAATGCACAACATTTACCAGAACAATATAGATTTTTATTAAAAAAGAACAGATCATAAACATAGTTTTATATTTATAAGTATACTCGTTTGAGTCGTTTCACTATAGAGTTTACCTAGGCGGAACTACTCATTGTGTATATATTCAGGGCCGCCCAGAGGTTGGCGGGGGCCCGGAGTACAAAATTTTTCCGGACGAGTACGTTGCAATTGCTTTCGAGGGACTTTATCTCATTTTTTTATGCCAAAATTCGGTACTTAGCCCAAGAAAACAGATATCTTGTCCTTTGCGCGGAAATATTTAACACACAAAAAAGGCTGGGGCCCAACAAAAATTTTTCAGGGGCCCCCAGCAACTCGGGGCAATTTGCCCCCTTTGCCCCCCCCCCTCTGGGCGGCCCTCTATATATTGCATGTCATTATAATTGTAATTGTAATAAAATGTAAACCACTGTCCTTGTAGCTATATCCGTAGAATAGTTTATATGATTTAATATCACTTTACCTGTCGAAGACTGCAGACTGGCAGTCGAAAGCTCGTGTTTTAAATAAAAATTTACGATCAGAGAACGTTTCAGAAACTTCATTGTAAGTTGTCAAAATTACATTACATGAGAAAAATGCCCAAAACTATCTATTTTCAGAATTCTTTGCCACCTGATAGTTTGTTAATTAGTGTAGGTATAAAATAAAAGTTATTCCGAAAACAAGTCATGCAGGCTGTCCAAAATTGTGGTAACCAACAAGGGTTACTACCGCGTTATCGCAAACTTTGTTTTGCGGTAACCTAATTTTGTTTCCCTAAAGTAATGTAAGTCCGTTATCACTTAATTCTATATAATTCATAACTGTTAATAATATACATAAAGATATTACTCGACTGTGATTGGTTGATTTCAGTGCAGTTAATCCCAAACAGCAGACAGCAGTGCAATTTTCTGTAATCACAGTACAATTTTCTGTAATCACAGTGCAATTTTTTGTGATCACAGTGCAATTTTCGGTAATCACAGTGCAATTTTCTGTAATCACAGTACAATTTTCTGTAATCACAGTGCAATTTTCTGTAATCACAGTGCAATTTTCTGTAATCACAGTGCAAAAATCTGTAACAAACTGATCTGATTGGTGGAAAAACATTGTGATGATTAAATCAATTCAAAACAAAACAAACATGGCGCGGCGAAAGTAAAAGTTGCCTTCGCGTGGAAAATATGGCTTTTATCTTTATTTTTAAATGGAAAAGCATTTACCTTAAACAAGACTAACGAAAATTACATAGTTGAGTGGAATTTTCAAGCTGTTAGCATTGTATAATGTGATATAACAAAGCCAGGAAAACTTTGCCATTGCCACAGTGGCAAAAACTACAATTGTCTCGAACATTTTTATGTAAATTATTAATATAATTATTAATAGCATGGTTTCTCGTGAAATTTTAATAAACATGCACTCGTGAGTTTTTCAAAGACCTCAAAAAAGTCTTTGAAAAACTCTCTCGTAGTGCATGTTATATCCAAATTGCACTCGAAACCATGCTATTACCTATACTAACAGTTAATATTTAAATTTTCTTTACGCTCTATGTGATCTAATTGGATTACTTTACAATTCATTTGTCGGACATATAAAATAATAAATTATAAGTTCTTCTGACAAGTTTTTGTTTTGGTGAACCCAGGTTACTGCAAAGGTGATTTTGCGGTAACCCAATTTGGTTTCTGATGCAAGTATTTTTGGACATGCAGCCTGCAAGTGCATAATATAAATACCAGAAAACTGTGTAGATGGGAAGAGACATTGAGACAGGTTTGACGATTTTGTCCAGGCTTTCATCGTTCATTTGCATTCTTGGGCCCAGGCCCTACCGCGCCGTCGAACAGAGCAACAAAACCTGGGAACCTTGCTGTTAAGCCTGTTATGTTTTTTCTCCGTAGAAACGAAATAAATTTCCTTTTTGTTTTTCATTTTTGCTTCTTCAAAATCTCTAATTGTTTATTGTATTGATGATAAACTACGTTTGTTGATAGATCCACAATATTTAATTGAACGACGATCAAAAGGTAGAACAACCTCTTGTGGCTGTTTATCTGACATGGAATTGCCAGAACCTGAAAGTACCAAGACTATAGTAACGGTTACTACACGCGAGTCAACGATAGAAGTAAACGAAGCAGGCAGACAAGATAGACAACTGGTTTCAGAGAATGTCTTAGAACGATGTGGTGAATGTAACTTGCATAACTGTAAGTATTGAACTGTATTAAAGGCCACGAGGCAATGTTTTATGTTTCACATATGGCCAGGGCCATGCATGCATGCATGCATGATATCTAAATACTTTAGATAAGGACCTTAAAAGGAGTGCATATATATTAGTAAGTAAGTACAGTAAGTACGTCAACACGTGGGGGTATGCTAATCATCCTTACTTGCAGCTGAGCTAAGCTGAATTACGAAAGACGCAGCTCGCCTGATCGAATCGAAGGCTTTTCTAAGGGCGCCTTTGACAGCCACATTGTGACACGTGTCTGATCACAGAGTACATTACGTTACGGTGGAAGGGCCAACATTCCTGCATATGGAAGGAACCGGGCTACCCGGAGAAAACCCACGACTATCAGCAGGCGTTGACTGACTCTTTCTACATAAGTCATGTCGTTAATCCGCAGCAAGGATCAAACCCACGATCTCAGATTGAAGACTTTTATCCACACGTGTGAAATAAGCATGCAGTAAAGATAATTATGATATAAACATAAGTGTTATATAGAGTTTTTGGCCACTGAGAAAAATCGTATTTAAACACACGTAAAAAATACGATATTTTTACGTGTGAAAATGATCACTTTTCAATTATCGCTTTTCTGTAAAAATTACCGCTTTTCAAAGACTGTCCTTTGATATATTTTAAACAGAAAAATACATGGGTGCTTGGAAATACCAGATTTATTTCTCATGTTGAACATGTTATCTCACTCGTTCGCTGCGCTCACTCGTGAGATATTGTGTTCAACACTCGAAATAAATCTGGTATTTCCGCGCACCCATGTATTATTCTCTATTTACTGGGCAAACAAATTCAATGAAGTGACGACATATGCAGCAATGTATATAGTATGTATTAACAATCACTACTGTAGATATATAAGAGAACAAAAAAGTGGGAAAATATTCGGGTGGGGGAATTTAGGTTTGTCACCATATTACTACACTGTCAATAAATAGCCAACTGTCCCCCCAATCTCCTATTCACATTTTACTATGTTTATTATATTTTCTTAAAATCATTTATTTGTAGTGCTTGAAATAGCAAAGGTGGAAGTATTACTTGCAGAAAAAGAACTGTCTTCTTTCATTACAAGAATGATTTACTATGTTCTCATAAAACCATGCGTGATGACAGTATCAACGATTACTCAAATGGCTGAATGGTAGGTCCGCATAGATTTATCTATCATATCCAGTCTATTCATTATACGTTTCCTTTAACTTTGTTTGTCAATAAAGTATCAATCAGTTGTCGGGAGCAATATTTATGCTCTAATACGGACAATTTTCAATTTCTCATTTGTGAACCTTTGTGTAATATTGCAGACGCAAATAGGCACTTCCAGCTTTTAATTTATGCGCGCAGGGGGTTATGGGAAGTAAGCTTTCATATTGCTGATTATGCTGAAAATTTAAATAAAAACTTTGCGGAAATTTTGATTCTATAAAAACGTGAACATATTTAGCTTTCTCCCGCTTTTGTCAACAACCATTTGAATCACTGCCGTTCTTGTATAATGGCTCCAGCGTCGCATTTAATACTGCACATGGCTCTGCCGAACATAAGGTTGTCAAATGTCAATAGATAAGAGAGTACCGCCTGAGCCAATATAACTGCCTATTGTACTTCATACATGAAAGCCATTGTTACAGCGTATTTATACCTTACATGGTTCGTACAAAACTTGAAAGTATTAAATGTCCTTGGATTTGAAAACAAATTCAAGGCCTTGAATCAGAATGCCCTAGAACTTGTAAAGAAGTGTTTGAAAGTCTTTGAATTCTTCTTGCTTTAGTTTATGGATATTTTCTTAAATTATTTGACATTCAGAAGCGGACATTTTGTTGAATTAATTTTGCATGATCATACTGGTATATCTGACAAAGCTGTTTGAAATTTACTAAAGTTGCGTTTCGAACAATTCATCGTGACATTGTACTGATTTCTAACGCCTTCTTTTCAGTGTTTAGTGCTTGAATTTGCATGCTGATGCATGTCCTTGAATGTCCTTGAATTTGACTCTCTCTGATATGTACAAACCCAGAGTGAAACCGCATCGTTCAATTAGCTATTAGACAGTCCCCCATGCATACATGTCTAGCCGGAGTTGGAAAAAGTGTTCAACGGTGAATAATCTTTTTGAAATTGCAAAATATGTAAATTATGTCAATGTCATTCAGAATCGGCTACTTGTTCCTATTTCGTACTGAATATTTCAAGTTTTATGGTTTTCTCCTCAGTATTCTCCAATGTGATCTGGTATCGGTACTATAGATAGATAGATAGATAGATTTTATTTTGACACGCTAACTATACGTCAATTAAAAAACATTGATTTCCACGAAGGGCGTGTGTTCAAAAGTTATTATATATAAATGTTGTTATGACTCTTATGGAATCAAATAAAAGAAAATAGAAATAATCTAACTGTTCCAATTGACAAAATTGACAATATAGACAACTAACAAAACATATAGATAACTATTTACAATAAAGGATATATATATGTATGTATGTATAAATATATTATTTAGAAACATGAGCAGCAATTTTTCTTTCAAATAGAGACTGGGACCTAATTCCTCTGATTTCTTTAGGCACTGAGTTCCATATTTTTGCCCCATTAAACATAAAACTCTTTTTCATGCTATTTGTGCGGGGCTGTGGCAAAACGAGTGTTGTTTCATTGTCACGGAGACAGTAATGCGTATTCTCATTCTTGTAGGTAAAAAGGTCTGTTAGGCTTTTAGGCCCAGACATATTCAAAATTTTGAACATTAATTTTGCCTTAGCTTTAGTTCTTTGTACTTTTAGTGTCTCCCATCCTAACGAATTTAATGCGATTTGGGCATTAACTTCGTTACCCATGTCCATAATAATTCGAGCGCATCTATTTTGAAGCTTTTGTAATCGTTGTGATTGAGTTTCACCAAAAATGTCCCACAATATCACAATAGTTACCAGCGCAATATCAATACCCTGCCCTAGTCAAGTATCATTTGGTATTAGCGTTGAGTATAGAGTGTTCCACATTAAACCTTCATCACTGACCTCACATATGGCAAAAAAACCGCAGTTTTTTGCAACCCAGTGATAGTATACTTTGTTCACTAAAACTGTCTGTACCAGTGTAGGTAGTACCAATGTGAAAATGCTGTGCTGAGTGGTTATATTACTACCTTAAAAAATAAGCAGAAACTCGACGTTTCGAGCGAAGGCCCTTCGTCAAGTTTCTGCTTATTTTTTAAGGTAGTAATATAACTACTTTGTTCACGTATGTCTCTGTTGTCTCATGTTGTCTTATGTCTCTGTTGGTTTTGTAAAACCTTACTGTAACTCCTTAAATATAGTATTATTCTGAAGCTACCAAAGGTCACCACTGGCGTTAACTTCCTGGACCAGTTGCTGCATACCATCAAGGATGCCATTGTTCACTATGAAATTTATCAAAATATTCATTCGTGTAATGACAGGTACAATTATATATATACTGTTTTTTGGTATTTAATGTTTCTGTAATCAGAGAGTTGCGTATATGCAAACATAAAAAGAAATGATAATGGTGGCGAAATAATTTGTTCTTACATGTAAAGTGATGCATTCATATATTCCGATAACCGATATTCAAGGAGCGATATTTTAACAATTATTATATTCACCGAGGTAAATAGTGCAAGGATATTTTAGAAAAAAGATTTGCTTGTCTGTATTTGTAACAAAACGGGAAGACGTTTTGTTTTAACCGGGAGGTGATTAGTGCAAGCCTGCAAGGATATCGAGACAACCAATCAAATTGCGCGAAAAGTATACTGCCCACCGCCTGCAAAATACTGTATATGCTTCGCTTATCGCTAACAAAAATGCTGACACCGATATGTTGAATTTAGAGCCGATACGTCCATATGGATATCGGTTCATCACTTGTCCAATATACAACTATAAGCTAGAGTAGATACTGCTTTCACGTCAAAATGATGATACAACCTGCATGACTGCAGCTAGGAAGACCATCTGCCCTTCCCTATTTGGTTTCCTCCATCTTTTACCGATGAAATATTTATAAAAAATGGTTTTAATTGTTCCATTTTAGCTGCTCACACAAGTCTCAAGTGTACCGTTCAAGTATCACAGAAGTGGAGTATGAAAGTTACCAAAACATTGATACATCCTCTGAAGATTATGACACAGCATGCAGCGAGTCGTCATTTGTCACGTGTTTATCACACTCTGTCAGTGCGGATTCCGATCTGGAATTAGAGACATTAAGTTCATCAAGCAGTGATACTGTAGTTGAAGAGATTTTTAGTAGTGAAGAGGTAGAATTCAACTTGGCTGATCATGATCATCAACTCCGAGCAGATTATATATTAAGCAGTAAAGCAAGATGGAACGCTGACGCTGAAGACTTGCTACAAACCTATCAGAGAGGGTAGACGCCTAAGGCGGAAATTGGTAAGGTATGCTTTTAATGGAATATTAGACTACGTTTACATTGTACGGATAGGTTTCCATAGCGACGTGAAGAAACACCTATCCGTACCTTTTAGGAACACTATTTTTAGAGGAATTATTGCAACGGAGAGAGATGTTGTTTCGCTCAGCTTCTGAAAATTGTACATTCCGTATCGGATAGGTGCTTTTCCGCGTCGCTACGTGAATATATCCAGTACAGTGTAAATGTATAGCCTTATTAGTATAGTTAGTCACTCTCTCCCCCGCAGAGGCTTACATGAAGTTTCTAGTGAGGAAAAAGTGAGCGCGCAAGGAGTGATGGGAAGAGCTAAATAATTGAGCCTCTGCTAGTTAATGCAATCAACATGGCGTCGTATATAATCTTTTGGAGTTCGGTTCGATCAACCATCGAGGGTGTTAAAACATGTTTTCGACTTTCATTTTCAGGCGTACTTGAGTATCCTGGGGTGAATTCAATATCAATATCTTCTGTCCATTTGCATCGAAAAATATTGAGAAATTGCAAACGAATATCAATGGATACGAGCTATCTAATTATAAATATCCTCTTAATTGCAACATTTCTTCATAAAAATGACTCTATTGAACTTCGATACTCAGATTATGAAGATTCATTTCAATTTCTTTAAAAAAAGGTCAAACAGCTAGTTTGGTTCAAAAACCATACTTCGTCGCATTATCTGGCAGAGCCTCCCAATCTTCCCACCACACCGCGCGCGCTCACTTTTATTCTGGAAACTTCATGTAAGTTATTTGTAAATACTTACGGAGGCTCTGCGGAGGAGAGAGTAGTTAATTATGTGATGGCAATTTCAATTAAGGTACGAGCCGCTGGTCAAAACGTTCAAATGTCACGAGTATTGTTAATCCGGCCTCAATTGTACAAACACATGATTACTTATTTATTACTTGCATGACAAAATTTCGTTCATTTGCAAATATTTATATCGAAATTTTATTTGATAAATATCCTGAAATTGACCCTAGAAGCGCTTACATCGCGCAATTTTCAATCCATCTAGACATTAGGTATACACAATGCAATGTGGGTCAAATATTCATTGTTTGACAGTAGTGACGTATGGACTTCCAAGGTCAATTGTGAAAAGAGAAAATACCGTATCAGGAAACGCCCGCTACGCAGGCTATATTAGGATAAGCCTGTCAGCCTGAGATTGACAATCTGCGATATATATAATAATAGTGCAGTAGGCAGTTTTATGGTACGCGACAAATGTATGCATGTTGGGATTTGGATTGTCGACTCGCCTCTGGTATTAACAGGTCACAATACAAATCTAGGGCCGGTTGTACGATGGTCGGATAGTGCTATCCATCGGATAGTGATTTTTCCAACCTTTGTAAAATTCTTGAAAAACTGTGAAAATACGGATATAGACAACACAAGAAGTATAAAAAAACATTGAACTTATAAATACTAAACTTTAATACGAGTTATACCAATCAACGACTGATTCAACAAAGCTTGAAAAAATCACTACCGGTGGATAGCGCTATCCGGCCTTCGTACAACTGGCCCCTAGAAATGTGAAAATAGTATCTGTTTTGCCCTGTATTTATACCAATGTTTTTCTTTCTACTTGTAGAAATATTTTCCGAACCAAAGTAAAATGTCAAAAGGTGGTGCAAATCTGTTGCCATGGTTAACAACAGGGTTAATAACGTTAGGCTGGCGTCTGACCTAAATCATGTAAATATAAAAGAAATTTTCTACGAGATTACGATATTAGTATAGGTAATCATGCGATGGCGAGTACAATTAGGGATTAATAGTACAAGTGATGTTTGTAAATTTTGCAAATTTCCAAACATCACGAGTACTATTAATCCCTAATTGTACGAGCAACATTGCATGATTACTTGCTTATTATTAGCATATGACAAAATTGGATAATAGTCATAATACTGAATGTCAACATCATATTCTCTTGCCAAAGCCCAGTCCTGACAGACTTTCAACCACAATTTTGTGCTTTTGTTCGTATTTTCATTTAGTTCTTTTGCTTTAAGTTGCTATAGGGCAATTTCATTTATGTTTAAACTCGTGTTTAAATACCTTTCTGTTTGTTTTGGGAAAATGATTAATTGTACTGCAGTACAATTAATGAAATAATTGTACTCCTCTCAACCAATCAGCATCCAGTAATTTTGTCATGCTAATAATAAACATAGTTACATAGGGTATTTATTCATACAGTTTTATTATCTCACAGATTATATGTAGCATGTTATTTTGTGTTTGTGAAATTAAATTTTGCCCTAGCCGGTTGTTTTATCATGTGTTGAACCTGCTGCAAGTTATCACAATTTGTCTTCGTAACTTGAACTGTGAAGTTACTGCTTTGTCTTTGAAATGCCGTCACAAAGCATCGTCAATTGAAAACTGGAAACTAGGAAACTAGGCAAATTAGAAAGCATATATAATGATACCGTGCATGTGCAACATTGCGTATATAATTGAAAGATTGAGCGAGATTATGCGATATAACCATATTGGATGATTGCTTCAACATGCCAAAAGTCCTCGTGCACAAGTTTGCATAAACATGAACAAAAAGATAGAACAAAGACTTCAGTCAAGTTTTCCGGACTAAATATTTATTGACTCTGTATACAAACAAGAAAGTCTATATCATAGTCTATCAAGATATGATGATCTGGAAACTAAACAGAAGTCATTGTATGATGTTTTTGTCTGAGTTTATGTTAATTTATGCACGGTCACTGTGATTGAACTCATTGTATTTTCGTATAATGAAGTAACTGTCCAATAGGGATAGCTGAGATGAAACGTGCAGCCACGATGAATAATTTAATGAAGTTGAGACAAAGGATTTGTGCACGGAGAGTTACAGTTCCAACATCGAACAAAGGCCTTCTATTTTGTAGCTTTGAAGTTTGCCGGGTTTACAGACCATCATATCTTGACAGATTATGTCTATATTGACTACATTTGAGATGTTTCTTTAACTGTGGGTTACAGCGTGAAATGCCGGAATGATCAGAATATGATTACTCGTGGTTTAAGATTTCCACTCGCAGAGTGTAGACCAACATTAAAACAATTATGCTATTTCTTTAACTCGTTTGAGTGTTTGATGATAGTGTTTGAAAGAGAACAGCTTTGGTGATACGTGAATAATTACATGATGATACGTGAATAAGTGTTTATTTATTACAACTATTGCAGCGAAATGTTTGAATGAGCCAACATTTTCTAAATGGTTCACCCTTTTGCGCAAGAGACTTTCAACCAGTGATGTCATATTTCAATTCAAAGAGTGATAACCATGCATATCAACACACTAACACAATGCTGGAGCAACATTTCGTTTCATAAAGGCGATGTTGCACGATAACATGTGCGTCAAATTAAATTTTACACCCCCAAATTTGTATAAAAATGTATATAGAGAAAATGGACAATTGATATTCTTTGCTTGCACATGACGTCACTACGTGTCATTAGGCGCCATCTTGGTTGATTCTAAAGTTTTGTCCAGCCGTTTACATCGAAATAGTTGAGTTACATTATTATTTTTGGTTTGTTTTGAAAACATCTTACTGTATTATGGATAGTTTACGATTTCTTTCACAATACGACAAAGAATGAAGAATATAGATTTTTAGTTGCCACGTATGTTTTGAAAATCAACCAAGATGGCGTCGATTGCAAACGAGCAATAGAGAGAAAGAGAAAATGGACATTTCTCACGGAAATTGCAAGTTAACTACTTCATCTTTGCACGGATATTTTGGATCCCTGCGCCACTATCCTTAGACAATGTATTACGCTATTTTTAAATGACGCACAATTTAGGCGAGTCAGGAAGGGTCAAAGATCCAAAATGGCCATGCAAGGTGAAGTACTAACTCAGAAAAATGGTCATGTCGCTGAGGATTCACAACATGATCAGTTAAAGATGATGTCCACTCCTGTGCACATGCGCATTTTGAACTGCTATGTTTGTATAATATGATATACCAACTGGATATCTAAACTTTTCTGGTTTGCTATGCTTGTAAATGAATATAATATGTACGTTTCAATTAAAAAAAGTTCGAAAGATGCAAAATTTGGGCAATGTTTATATCTGGGGGTCCCCCTTTGTTATGAGCAGAACTGATGCGCAGAACGGAGTGGAAATCATCTTTAAGATGGGCTCTCGATTGTGGCCGCAATTTCTGATCGTGACAGAGAAAATGGACAATTAATCTTTTACGTAGTCTACATAGATAATCAATTCTTAACTTTTTAACATAATATTAAATTTGTGAATTGTAACATAGATATTTGTGTATGATTTCAATGGGTGTAGGATTTCAATTGGGACTAATGGTTCTGTGTCCTTCGCCTGTCATTGAAAATGTAAATATTCATTGGCGAATCATTAAGTCCAAATTAAATTCAAATTTGTAATCACAAACTTATCACAAAATATCCTATTTCATAGTGCTCTACTCTTTGCTCAGCTAGAATGAGGAATGGAGTAAATGGTGCTGAGTCTACTCATTCATTTTCTGTTGCTATGAACCCCCCTTTCTTACACCCCACCCATTATCTCATCTTCCCCCCTTTTCCCAAAACCTCACTAATCCCCAAACCTCGTTAAATTAATCCCCAATTCAAATCATTTCCCAAAAACTCCGTCATTTCCCAAACCTCAGTACTTTCCAAACCTCATCTCCCAAACGTTATTGTATAAGACCCATTATGGTGTTACGCGATTGTGTCTGGGGGTTGCTTGGACGCGTTCTTTGGAGGGAAAGCACACACAAACTTTTTTGGCTGGTTCATGTTCTGCCACGCATGAAAGGGGTCAACTACTAGATTGGTGGCCAGTGTTGCGGATGCCCCAGATGGATTGAGCACCTTAGCAAGTTGCATATAGTAGACTACGGTGCGAAGCTGAGACCAACCCACATGATCCATGATCTCCGCTAAATCCGCGCAACCGGAAACCGTCTAGCATTCATCCTCATCGGCTTTCATCTCACGTAAATAGGTCTTTAAACGGGCTTCAGTGACAGCAGAGGTAAGAGGGGAATCATGGATACCACCTTTAGAAGTCGTTGGTCTAAAGATGTAATCGCATGCAAGTTAAGTCAATGTCAAGTTGACGTGCGGTATCCATATAAAGCTCGATACCTTTGATAGGGCAGATAGTGACCTGGGGATTGCGGCGAATTCCAAAAACATTGGCATCACCATATCCGAGGGTTTTACCCCAAACATGGTTAAAGTGGCACTCGCGTCAAAATTTTATTTTCTTAAATTAAACGAAAATGCTCTTAAAACTGTGTAGTAACTTGTTTTGAAGATTTTTGTTCCCATGCTTAGTTCTTGAGATATTTAGAGATATCAGTAATTTTACATGACAGTCTCAAAGGGCAACCGCAACGATGTTAACCCTTTTGACCAATGTAGGAACAGCCCTGCTCAGGGGCGTAGGAAGCATCAAAAGATTGGGGTGGCACCGGCTTCCGGGGGCGCTTTTGGATATTGAAAAGGATACTTAAAAAAATTTTCCCGGAAATGTTGGCGACGAGGGAAGGGGGGGGGGGAGGAGAAAAATTATACTATACCCAAATTGTCGTACTATACCCAAATTGCACGTTTTTGACCAATTGTTTGTTAAAAACATCGAAATTTCCAAACAAAAAAAGGCACCTTTCATGTTAATTTAGTATTTACAGCGACATTAGCTTGTACAAAAAGGGCAGTTTTCATCACAAAAAGGGCACTTTTAGTCCTTTGAAAAATTGGGGGGGGGGGGCACGTGCCTCCGTGTTCTTACGCCCCTGGCCCTGCTGATGGACTTGAGTCCAACCATGTCTATCTTTGGAACCTGCACAAGTCGCGAGGAGTAACAGTCTCCAGAGTAGCATAATTAGAGAGCGTACTTAAAAAGGACTCCCCACTGTCCACAGCCAGCAACTGTTGGCAAGCGTTGATCGATGTCATCAAGGTCAATAGCAACCTGCCGATATGCGGTTTCGCATGAATTACCTTGCGAGCATAGCTGGCAAAATCGCAAGTCATGGTAATTTGCATGGCTTGCATGAGGGGCAACGAACCGAGGGACAAAATAGTTTTGCGATCAAAAGAAGAGCCTAAAGAAGACAAAATTTATTATCGTTTACAAGGCCTAATACAGCAATCAAAAGAAAATGGCATTCAGATTGAGGAAAAATAACCACTATAGGAAAATATTAAATCAAGGAACGAGTGTTGTGACACACACAAACAAGTGATACAACTAAAACACCGTCCTGTGTTCATGGCATCCGTGAATAGTCCCATTACGGAAATTCCACGGAAAATTCGCATCATCCCCTAGAGGCTGGCCACAGGATTCCAGCCACGGCGATATCCCCATATCCGTTCCGTTCCGCAATTTATCCCCATCCGTTCCGTTCCATATTTTATCCCTATATCCATTCCGTTCCGCTTCCGCATTTTAACCTAACCCCAATTGGCATGCATGTAAAATTTCCACATTCAGACAATGATGGACATAAATGGTTGAGGCAAATATTTCTCCCCACACAAAATTCGCATATTTTTATGATACCCCAATTGATGGCAGCTGCCATACTGCAGTGGACCTTGTCCGCAGTGTAGTAATATGACGTAGACAATGTCACATAACAAAAAAGGGCATGCGCGAATTTAGAATTATGATGGACAGAGGCGTAGGAGGGTTTGTAAGTAAATCTATATTGTATTTGTTCACATATGTTTTTGGGTTTGAGGGATTAGTTACCTGCACCCCATGAACTCACCCATAAGGCTGAAATGCAAACCAAAAACTATTTAGCAGTTAGCATGCTACATTCAGTACAGAGGGGGGAGGAGCCTTTTGCTCTGGCCCCAGTACAATAGAATATTGATACAAGATTGTTCAACCGAGAATATAAATCCTAGCTGCATCAGTGCCAGATGATGTTCAGTAAAGTGTAATGTATTGTAAAACACCAATTATGGGAAAGCCCTTGGGGAAACGTTTGGCCTGGGCCCCGCAAAACCTATTGGCACGCCTGGCTACACTAGCTAACTTTACTCATGTAAAAATAAAATGGATTATCAACTAGTATGTCTGATTTATTAAATGTGTTGATTTACACATTTGAATGTGGTAGATGGAATTTTCGAACGAAAATTTATGTACAATGTTAAGGCTGCTCTCCAGTTAAGCGATTTTCATACATGTGTGTACGCACGGAAAAGTTTAAATCTTTCTAAATTTTATACAAATACTAATTACCTCAACAAATGCATATTAAATCACACAGAAAATAAATTCTATCCTTTTATTCAATTAGTTATTTCATAAGTAAAATTTAAAAGGATTTAGGGACCGTTCATTATTTATACCCCAGGGTGGGGAAAATTGAGAGGCGGTCATGTAAAGTTCATCTTGTCCTATGGTGTGGTACTTGCTTTTTTTGGAGTCTTGTGGGGAGGCGAGTGTTATAGAAAAGGAACTGAAAATTGTGTAGCATCTGTCTACATATAGAACATAGTGGTAAGTGGGAAACGTTTGCCAAAAACGGAAGCTTTGTATATACGGAAGCTTTGTACTGGTTTAGATGAGATATCATGCAAGCTATTAAAAGAAGATCAAAGAAGCTTCGCCAATTGTTTTTTCATCCTTAACCCATATAATAAACTTATCCATAAGAAATGGGGTATTTCCCAATGATTGGAAAAGAGCTAGGGTAATGCCAATATATAAAGAAGACACAAAATCAGATCCTGATAATTATAGATCAATATCTATCTTACCGATTGTCAGTAAAATAATTGAAAAGATCGTTTTCTCTCAGTTTTATGGATACCTAATCGATAATAATCTATTGTCTAGTTCCCAACATGGATTTAGACCATTACATTCAACACTTACGACTCTTCTAATATCTACCAACAATTGGTACCAAAATATTGATAAAGGGCTATTTAATGGAATTCTATTACTAGACTTAAAAAAAGCCTTTGATACCGTGAACCATCCAATTTTATTAAAGACGCTTGAGATGTATGGCGTAGATCCTAATTCTATCAATTGGTTTAGATCATATCTAACAGGTCGCAAACAATGCACAAGCATTAATGGCACATTGTCTAGCTTGCTACCTGTTACTTGTGGGGTTCCTCAGGGATCGGTGCTTGGGCCCTTATTGTTTCTAATTTATATTAATGATCTTCAAGCCTGCCTCTCTACATCGTCCCTTATGATGTATGCTGATGATACATGTTTAACTGTTAGTTCTAACGATCCAAAAGACCTAGAGCTTAAACTAAATAACGAACTTAGAAAAGTGCAAACGTGGCTAAGGGCTAATAAGCTTACTCTGAATGTAAAGAAGACAAAATCTTAATCCTAGGAAGCCAAGCGAGATTAAGTAATCTGAATTATCGCTTTAACATTCAAATTAATGGACAGTCTATAGAAAGAATGTATTCTTATAGATACTTGGGAAGTTTGGGACTTGAAATTGATGAATCTTTAAATTGGCAAGTACATATTGAAACCATTTGTAAGAAGATAAGTGCAAGTCTTGGGGCGTTAAAGCGGATTCGAAGTTTTGTACCCCAAAACACATTGATCCTGATGTATAAAGCCTTAGTGTTACCTTACTCAGACTATTGTAGTGAGGTTTGGGGCTGCCTAGGTAAAACCCTCTCTGAAAAACTCCAAAAACTGCAAAACAGAGCCGGTAGGATAATAACCTTCTCCGATTATGACGTCAGATCAGCTGATATACTACACAGTCTTGGTTGGGAAACTCTTGACCAACGTCGTGCTAAACAGCTCGCAACAAGTATTTATAAAGCAGTGAATAATTTATATCCCAACGAGCTTAATACTATTTTTGAACCTACCTCGCAAGTCCACTCTCACAATCTTAGAGGTAGTTCGCACAGTATGTTCACCCTAGACCCAGAACGGAGGCTGGTAAAAGGAGCTTCGGCTACCGTGGGGCTGTGTTATGGAACGATCTTCCGGATGAAATAAGAAGTCAGGCTTCAATATATCTTTTCAAAAATAAACTTTCTAACTTTCAAATTTAATACTAAGATTAAGTAGTTGTAAATATGATAGGATTGTATATATATTTAGCTAATTTCTTTTGTTTTTGTATTTTTACATGGCTCCTTGGAAGAGCACTTTAGTGAAAGGACACCATGTTACCTATTTATGTATTTTTTAATAAAGCTTCATTGATTGATTGATTGATTGACTCGGTCACAGGCTCCGAAAGAGGTTTTTTTATTTTTGCACGCAGACATATTGGTTATGAGCGAAGGAAAGTAATATCATTTAAAATTAATGAAAGGTTCATCTTCAAAACATTTCAGTTCAATCAGTTGGTCCAAAAATTCCTTAAATTTCCTTAGAATTTTCGAAAATTCCTTAGATTTCCTTGATTCCTTTTTTTCCTTGAAACGTCTTTTTTCGGTCAAAATTTCCTTGAAAAAGGAAATTTCCTTGAAAGTGGAATCACTGCGCGAACTATTGGCTGTATCTTCAGTGCTTCCATTTTGGAGGAAATTTCCTTTTTGAAGGAAATTTGAATTAGTTGAAAGAAATTATTAGGAAATTCGAATCTGAAGGAAATTTGAAGGAAATTTCGGAAGATTGAAGGAAATGTGAAGGAAATTGCCTTATTTCTAAAAAATCCTAAGAATACGGCAATTTCCAAGGAAATGCGCTTCAAAATATGCTGAAAATCCTATCTGCGAGATGCAAAATCTGGGAAGAATAGGA